TCCCACAGCTGAGCTGCTAAAAATGACAGATTTTCTTTTCTGGATCTCTGACAGACGGACTTCAATCTCTGAATTCCTGAAGATAGAAGTGTTTGTTGAATCTGACGTGACATGTTCGTACGAACCCTTTGTACGAACAAAAGTAAGAGAAATTTAGGAGAAGAATACGAACATGTTCTTGCATGAGGCCCATTGACTCTACTCTGACTCTAACAGAATAACTGAATACAGCCTTGGACAAAGTAAGATAATGTATTACCATGTCTTTGATAACAAGAATAAGATTGAGTGGGTTTTAAGTACAGTGTCAGTTATAAGCTTTGAAACAATGTGTTTACCAAATTTCCTTCTGGGATCAATAAAGTATTTTTGAATTTGAATTGAATTGAATTGAATTTACTTTCAGGTCACAGATCTTCCCAGCTTTCCAAAGTGATGGCATCCAAAAGTAACAGGGTCGCTACGATACCCAGCTTTCTGCATTGCCTCCTCAAGCTTGTGACAGCTCATTTTCTGAGCCACGGCTTTAGCACCAAAAGAGCAGAGAGCTCTGTAATGATCAGCTTTTAGCGCTGGCACTCAGCAGCTGAATAAGCCATCAGGCATCATTAGGCCCTGCTGGGCGAAAACAATCTCTTCGTTTCCATTGGCGCTCCCAAACAGGGAAACTCTCCGAGAGAAATGCATCAGAGACACTTAAGCGTGTGTGTGTTGTGTGTCGAAATTTTTGGCTCGGTTGCTCTCCAAAAACACCTAATTTTTCCAATGATGTGGCTCTTTATGATGCTCCTGAAAAGCATAATTTGTTTTATCAAAAAGATTTGTTTGCCATTTCTTTTAATAATGCATATGGAATCTTTAAGAATTTGAAAGCAGTCTTTGGTCAACAGCAGAGAGATGCTAAATTCGAAAGGTTCTGACTGAAAAGACAACATTTCCCTTTTAAACACCAATAATGATCTCTGGACAGCAGTATATTCTCAGCCAATACTGATATTTCCACTGGGCTTGACAATGAAAATAGTAGTAAATGCATAAATTTTACTTATGAATGCATCAGCTAGGCAACCATATTGCATTTGTTCAGAACTTGGGACACAAGCTAAACGTAAAACATCCTAACTAAACAAATACAGCTTGGCTGACCAAGATGATCAAAGCTGTAGTACGGAAGGCATTCAGAAGAACTTATACATCTATGAACTGCACAGAACTTCCAGTACGTTTTCAGACTAATTTGTGTAATATATCCGTCCGTGCATTCGTCTGCTTTCTTTCGCTTATCTGGGGTCGGGTCGTGGGGGCAGCAGCCAAAGCAGAGAGACCCAGACTTCCCTCTCCCCGGCCACTTGGGCAAGCTCGTCTGGGGGAATCCCAAGGCGTTTCCCGGCCAGCCGGGAAACATAGTCCCTCCAGCGTGTCCTGGGTCTTCCCCTGGGCCTCCTCCCAGTGGGACGTGCCAGGAACGTCTCACCAGGGAGGCGTCCAGGAGGCATCCTAACCAGATACCCGAGCCACCTTAACTGGCTCCTCTCGACGTGGAGGAGCAGCGGCTCTACTCTGAGTTCCTCCCGGATGACCAAGCTTCTCATCCTATCTCTAAGGGAGAGCCCAGACACCCTGCAGGGGAATCTCATTCTGGCCGCTTGTATCCACGATCTTGTTCTTTTGGTCACTCCCCAAAGCTCGTGACCATAGATGAGGGTAGGAACTGGTAAATCAAGAGCTTCACCTTCTGGCTCAGCTCTTGATCCATTATGACAGACCGGTACAGCGCCCGCATCACTGCAGATGCAGCACCAATCCGCTTCTCGATCTCCCTCTCCATTCTTCCCTCATTCGTGAACAAGACCCCGAGATATTTAAACTCTTTCACTTGGGGCAGAACCTCTTCCCCGATCCAGAGAAGGCACCCTACCCTTTTCCAGCTCAAGTTCATGGTCTCGGATTTGTATAATGTATGTGAAATTAATTCACTATGTCCTCAAAGTCTTCCAGTATAATTTGGAACACTTTCCTTGAACGAATGCATATCCAACACTTTTCACTGCTTGCAACGTTTAGCCCTCTTAAGTATGTGCTACGAAGGACCCTCAGCTACTACCACACCGAACTGTAGTTCAGTATCCATAATACTGACTCGGATTTTAGGTTTGCTAAGACTGATTAGTTGTCATGGCAATCTTAAATAGAGTTAATTCCAAAAGTGAATTGGTTGTAAATGTTCATCCAAATGACTACTTTCTAAGAGTTTTATTAAAATGTTTGCAGTGGTGCACACGCACACATATGCTCAGGTAAAAAATGATGGCACATCTTTCATGGCAGCAGGCAATAACAATCCATTAAGTACAACTGCTAATATAAATTTGTAAAACAACAAAAAAGGTTCTGATTATGTGAATAATTATACTGCCATAGTCAAACTAGTAGTGTTTGTTGTATGCAGGACAGGACACAGGCCTCCTTTCAGTGGGGATATTGCTGCCCAGCCTACCTGTTCACACCTGTCCTCAGACGCATTCAGCCAAGCCGTGGGTGTTAATTTGGCCTGTCTTGCCTGATGAAGGCCCGGTTAGGGGACGATTTGATGTTAACTGTTTCTAAATGTACACCAGGGAGGATGGAAATGAGTTCTGACACACCTGTTAAATTCAAAGCCAAACACCGTAATCTCACTGCTCTCATGGGAAATGGCACAGCTGTGTTTTAGTAGATCACAGATTCTTTCTAACATTTTATTAACGAAGCACACCGCTGTCCAAAATTATTTTGTCTTATCAGCCCATGTACCATAATGTGATTTTATGTTTTGTAAATATCACTCTAGCATTTGTTGAAAATAAAGAAATAATCTGACCAGAAACAAACGCAAAAAAAGCTAAATGTCATTGTGAAATCTTGTAGCTGATAAGCAGCTTACCCAGAATTCTACCCACACTTTAATTAATATTTTTGTTATTATTTATTGTTATTATTATTGCAGTGGTTTCTATTGGACATTAAAATGGTAGATAGGGTATTGTGTTGTAATTGCTTAATATAGTTTTAGTAAATTAGGATTTTTTATAGTACTTATTTAAATTTGATCTAGGAGGTTTATTTTTCTTGTTTAAAGTACCTGTGACATGCATTTCATACAAATACAAAAAGTGGAAATAAAACTTGTTAATATTTAAAATGTTTGACATAACGTGATTTAACATTTATTAAGATAACTGGCATAAACAAGAAGTGGTGACAAAGAAGTCCCTGGTTCTTATTTATACAAACTTTGACTTTTTTTCATCTCTTGATAGTGACCCAAAAGAAATCTAAAACAAACAAAATAAGTTAATTAATTAAAATTTGTTGCTACTGTTTGCATTGTTGCACTGTCTCAATGAAGTTAATCAATGGTCTAATATTGCATTCATATATATCACAAAAATTGACATCATAGGCACTTTAAGATACTTCCAAAAAATTATTTGTACAATCACTCTAAGCCCCAAATAAATAAATATAAATTATTACATATATCATTATGCTAAAAGAGTGTTTCAAATTTCATGATTTCCCCTGACTATCCCATTACGTTTACTATCTGCACACATAATCGTGGTTGGCTCACTTTGAAGTTGTTTTACTTTAAGGTTGAGCGTCAGTACCTTGGTTTTTGTTATTTTTAAACACAGGCACATATGAAGTCACATTTAAATTTGAATTACACAGTTCGGCCCTGAGTACTCTTTTCCGTCTTCCTCATTCAGATCAAAAGGGAAGCCAATAAAATGCTTCGCTTGCAGCCATTGGCTTTGATGTTGCACCTCCGCATGCTCATTTAGGCTCACAGGCAGAAAGTCAGGAGTGGACTGCTTCACCACTGGCAGCAAATTGTTTTCTATTTACAATCATAACTTCATGTTCTTTGGTATCAAGGACCAAAAAAATCAATTTTTGACATGTATCCATAACTGATAATTACTTTTACTGTTTAATACAAGGCATTTTCTGTCCTACTTTTACTTCTATCTGTAAATGTGTCATTTTGTAAAATGATGTTTCTCCTTTAAAAAAACAAATACATGTGAATAAACGAAGCTTCGTGATGACCTGTAATTAAGTGAGCACACAGGGACCTTTGTCTGCTCAGCATCATTAAAAGAACACCGTTCCAAGTGGGTGTGAGAGCCATGTAATTATTTAGCTTAGAGATTCACCGCACCATCACTTACCATCAAGTGAGAATCTGCAGGAGAGCGTTTAAAGAAAAAAATAGGTGAGGCCAATGATAAGCTGCCTCAAACGCAACAATAAAAAGAAAATATGTCATAAACACGAACTTTTATTGCGAAACCTGTAATTGAATCTGAAGCGCAGGTGTTAAATCATCACGATTACGACTCATTAGCTGCTATTCTTCAGAACAGAAAGATGATGAGACTATAACCAAGCCGAGAGGAGTTTTGTACTTCATCAGGCTGCTCAGGGATTTTATGGAGGTTTAAGTCTCATTAATGTTTGTTATTTGAGGATTTGGTTCAAGTAAATTACATGAATTGATTGAAATTATTTACCTGAAGCCATTTTGTGCCACTTGATAGTAATATGCACGTGCACATTACTTTGCAAATACTCAGTAGAATAAGGCTATTTTTTTCTGTTTTAGACAATTTTCTGATGCTCAGTTTTCTTCATATCATAAGCTAATAAATGAGTGGTTCATGGCATACATGTCAACAAGTTTAATTTAATTTTCAGTTACACAGACTTACTGTGTTTAGTCTGCACAACTAAACCAGAACACTGCTGATTTGAACTGACAGGACTTGGACTCATGGTTGAAAATCAGCGTTTTATTCTTGTCTGCCTTCTCCCTCACTAAAAAACACACACGGGGTCGTACGTGCCACAGGGGCTACGAGAGTGTAGAGTAATTGTAGCACGATGGATTACGAACAAAGCAGCTTGGATTTGACCTTTGTCTCGTGTACCTGAAGAATCATAAAGCCGGCTGATAGTCACACAGAGAACACCTCATTATCTCCATGAGCAACAGGAACAATTCTTTGTCAGAGGTCACGTTTGATGCCTCAATCAACACTTCCTTTGTCTTTTATTTACACACTTTTGTCTCTTGATTAGTAAAACTCTTCTTTGCTTTTATATTAACCGTAGAATTAGTTTCCACTTTTAACACGCTCCATGTGTCATAACTGCTACTTCTTTATAGAATTAAAAGTTGGAAGGTATATTACTGGTATACTGACATGTTTAATGGCCTATTATAAATTAACAAATCGTCTCCCACTACCTGTGACGAAGCATTAATGAGAGACACTAAAATCAATTATTTATAGTTATTCTGCTTTGTTGTTTGCAAAGAAAAGTCAGTAGATTCTGACTTCTGAAAAACACCAAAAATCAGCATTCGATTTAGAAATATAGCTGTTGTAATGAATTTTTTATTTAGATGTTTATAACTGTGTAAATTTTACTATGTTAAAAGTTACCTCTGTGTATTGTTTTTATGACCACAACTTAGTTATGTGTGTGTGTGCGTGTGCGTGCGCGCACACAGAAAACCTCCTATTAATGTTCACAATTTATTTGTTCTAAGTGTCAACAAAAACAAAACAAAAAAAATCCAGCCAGTTTTTTGCATTTGATTTGACTTTGTATTTCTATTGCAGAAGCAGGTGAAAATATGACTTTTCTGAAGGGTTTTTTTAGAACAATTTGCAAAAGGCAAACAGCTGCTGTTACCGTGTCAAATATGACAACCATGCTTTATTGTAGACCCTGAAAGTAACTGTTACCGATACAATAAATACAAACATCGTATACACAAATAGTTGATATTCAAACACACACACACACTGTCTCGGTGAAGTCCATCAATGACGCACAGGTGTGGATGATATGTACAGCTGAGATCGACTACAGTTCATGTTGAGCTGGGGGGGTGAGGGGGAGGCTGAGGTGGGGTGGGGAAAGAGCCGAGCCGGGCTGGGTTTCTGGGACACTGTTAGCAGGAGGTGAAGGTTTTCCAGAAGAAGTTTTTACAAGGGGCTTTGCGGTCACGCTGAGGTATTGATAACCTGTTGTAGACCGCCCTCTCCTCGAGGCGAGACTCCAGGGGCTCCTCGAGGTCAACAGGTGCCACTTCCCCCGGCAGCATGTTGGAGTCCAGAGCTCCGTCCAGCAGACCAGACACCAGCTTTAGGATCAGTTCTTTGCGCTCTTTGCTCAGCTCCTATCAAAACATAACAAGGGTAAAGGGATCAATACCCCAACTATTTAATTCACACAATGAACTGACTCGACCATATTTTAACAGCCTATAGTATCACATTTTATGTTTTAAAGCAACTTTTAAATGAATTTCATTATTGGCTGTAAATTATAAATCATAGAAAATGTTTTTCATTCGTAAAATTTCTACATTTACGACCATCAACATGCACAATCAAGACAAAATATTCCCATAAACATGGAGAATGATAAAATCCTCACCCTGGTCATGTGGATGGGGCTCCTGTCCTCCAAAGGAAGCACGGCTGCTGCTCTTACACTGAACAAGACCCCCATGAGAGCTGCTAAGACCACCAGGAACTGCATGCTGTGTGAGGAGTGTAGGACCAGAGCTACAGGAGCAGAAAGGAGGAGGCTCTCAAAGACAAGAGTGTGACCAAACGTGTGTGTCTCTGAGCAGCTCAGACTAGTCAGAGGTCCAGAGGAGAGAGCTGAGGACGATGGTAGCAGCTGCTCATCAGATCTGCAAACCCCAGATGTTTCTTCTGCTCTACCTCTCAAGTCCCCCACTCTTTTATACACCTCTCCCCCCACCGTCTGCTACTGACGTAGAGGGTGGTGGGTGTATGACAGGGAGGCGTGTGTGCCGTTGGGGGTGTCAGAGCGTGAGCATGAAGAAGCAGGTGGTGGTGGTGGTGGGCAGTGGTTGATGGTGGGGTCAGGACACAACAAATGAAAACATTTTAAAAGTTAACCTTTTTTGGGGGAAAGTAACTGGTGGCTGCGTTGGTGTGATTCACCAGGAGGCAACAACGTCACTGAGCTCTAACCTGCTTTTGACTTGAACCAGTGAATTCGTAGGTACGATAAAAAAAAGTCCCAGATTTTACAAAAACGTGGAAGGACTCATCAGATGAGATGTGACAAGTTGTGTAATTATTCCAAATAAAATGCCTATTTTTGAAAACTCCAGAGTCCAAAAAGCGACCTTGTACTGTTCCTTTTCCTGGTGATTGGCACTTGACTCGAGGCAACATTTGATTCCTGTCATAGTGCCTCCCTGACACCTTCAGACTACAATTGAACCGTCTGACACTCCCAAACATTTGGAGATGTGTCTTCAGGAAATATAGAGGAGTAAACCTAAGAGCTAGTTTCTCATTACTGATTTAGTTGTTGTGTAACCCCAAATAAAAAAAGCACCAATAAAAACAGAATGCAATGATATGCAAATTTCCTGAACCATGTTTTTATATGGTGGAACATTGTAAACTTATCAAATCTTCTCCAAGAAAATAGACCATTTCTAAAAAAAAAATAATAATAATAAGGTAACTGGAGAGACCAGTAAAAGCTCTCGATTTATTTGTTTATGTTCCAACCCTCACCTAAGGTCATGAGAGGCAAGAAGCATGACTAAAAAATGAGATCCTTGATACAAGCGACCGAAATGAGCTTCATTCGTAGCATGGCCGGGCTCAGTTTAGAGTTAGGGTGAGGAGTTCCATCATCCGGGGGGAAGCTTGGAGTAGAGACGTTGCTCCTCTGCATCGAAATGAGTCAGTTGAGGTGGTTCATCTGATTAGGATGCCTCCCTTGTTCTGGGCACGTCCTACTGGTAGGAGGCTCCAGGGAAGACCCAGGACTCACTGAAGGGATTACGTAACCTCTCTGGCCCAGGAACGAGCTGGAAAATGTCACTGGGGAGGGGGATATCTGGGTTTCTCTCCTAGACCTGTCGCCTCCACGACCCGACCGTGGATAATCAGAAGATGGAGATGGAGAAAAATAGGATTTTTTTTTATTTTATAACAACACATCTCAAACACAATGGAACTACAATAAAGTGCTAAAAAGTAGAATGAATAAAAAACTGGAAGAACACGTTTGCAACACTTTGTTAATTGACAACAGGAAGGATAAATAACCAACAAAATGAACAAGTTAAGGAAATTAAGCTGTTGGAACTTGGAATTGATCAAACAATATCATGGTATGGCACATACAGTGGTTTGCAAAAGTATTCATACCGCTTGAACTTTTCCATATTTTGTCACATTACAACCACAAACATAAATATATTTCACTGGAATTTAATGTGAAAGACCAACACAAAGTGGTATAC